GGGGGGTTCCATTAATTGTTAAATTGTTCTTTACACTAAGAAAAACATGGTTCTTTTAAGAACTGTTTACTGAAAGGTTCTTTGGGGAACCAAAAATTGGTCTTCTAAGGCATCGCTGCAAAAACCACCTTTTAGAGTCTTTTGTGTATGTTTGTGGACGATTCGTATCAACATTCCACTAACAGGAGAGCATTCTGACAGCTGTGTGCAGACGCATACACCACTGATCTCATCATCCCCATTGCTAACAATAACCTCAGGTGTTGGTCTTCTAAGGCATCGCTGCAAAAACCACCTTTTAGAGTCTTTTGTGTATGTTTGTGGACGATTCGTATCAACATTCCACTAACAGGAGAGCATTCTGACAGCTGTGTGCAGGGTGTGCAGACGCATACACCACTGATCTCATCATCCCCATTGCTAACAATAACCTCAGGTGTCCTTTGTGACATCTGATCTTCTGCACTCCAAGCTGGCATGCAAAACAGATGTATGCTTTCTTTCACAGGCACTACAAGTTTCTTTAGACATGTTTATAATGATGTTCACTCACTTTAAAGACTACAAATGATATGCTGGTATATTGAAATCACATGACCTGGTGAATACCATTTCATCTCAGTGACCCCCTAATTAGACACTTTTAAGTTGTAAAAAAGAAAAAATATATCACTGGTGACAAATACGCCTGAGAATGGGACATTTTTACAATTAAAAATTAACATTTTATTTTAAGGAAACAGAACCCTCACAAAAAGGCTCAATAGCATTTAGAGAACACCTTTTGAGTCTAGATGACATTTTAATTGAATAACAGAATCAGATCCACAAGCGTTGCACAAGCGCCACAGCACAGTAAATCTAAACAACCTCTGCAAATCCGTTTAAGTGCTGCGTATGCATTTTTGGGATTTAAGCAATCCTCATCAGTGTTGCGGAACTCAGTTAAGTCCTTTGACCTTCTCGGCAGAGATGTGATCCCCGGTGCTTGAGTGCATTGACTTTGTGCTGGATTGTGTGACCGTATGTGTGTTTAGATGCTCTTAGACCATTACACCTTCAAACACAGCCTGAAGTGAAGGCTAAAATGAACCTGGTTGGGTAGGACAGCTTAGGGCTGGGGTCATCTTCAGTTGTAAGGGCAAAGGTCAGTAGGTCTGTTGATAAATCCCACGGCCTGTCTGCAAGACAAATGGCTTAGGAAACATGCAGCTATATCTGAAATATGTTACAGGAGCCGGTTTCTTGTTAATAGAATACAACCCAACACAGAAATGTGAAAGAGTGATAATCTAAAAACTATCCTCATAGCAACCCCTTAGAACAGTGAATCTCAACCTTTTGGCGTACCGGACCCCAGTCCAATTCAGAACCATCCTCAAGGACCCCCAGAACAAAATTGACTCGTATCATTTGTGTCTTTGTGAGGACCAAATGCAGTCAAGTATAATTCAAGTTAGCTGACTTGTCCAGTATTTGGCCATATCATCAGCTATATTGGATTTTTCTTTCATGGGAACATGACATGTCAAAATATACAACATTTATACAAAAATTTATACTTTATATGGACCCCCTGGCCTTATGTCACGGACCCCTGGTTGAGAAACACTGCCTTAGAACACCTTAACATCACCATAGAAACACCACAGCAACGTCCTAGCAACCACTAAGAAGACTTCAGTCCATCAAAAACATTCAGAAGGCGTTACACCATGACCATAATTGAGTTGCTTTGAGTCGGCTACTAGGACACCGCCTTAACAACTGCATAGCAACCACCTAAAAAACACTAGCATCATGAAGGCGAGTTTTGTACTGGCAAGCACCACTCAAACCTTTTAATGAAGAAAAAAAAAAAATTTATAATTATAAATGAATTATTTATTAATAGTATACAATAAAAATATTATTTCATAAATAATTTTATTTAAAAAAAAAAATCTAATTATTGATCCATGTACTTTTGCGTCTATTCATTTTTCATTTTTTAAAAAAATGAAATGAAAAAAGAACGGTTGTTGTATATGCGATGTTGAAAACCAAAATTGAAAGTAGAACCATACCCACAAAATGTTGCGAGAAAAAGTAAAATATTGACTTCTTTTCAGATTTTTGTTGATGACTTTTTGCACCCTTAATAAACGTTTTCAAAATGCACAAATTAATATTGAAAAAAAACGTTGATTTTAAAAGTTCTGTTAGGCCAAATTAGGAGTAATGCTTCTCCCACATGCTCGATTGAGAGCCGAATGCATGATTTTAAAACGTTTGAGTTTTGTTTGATGGTGCTTGGCATCTCTAGCACCCCCGTAGACCGTGCCTGGATACAAACAGCTGATTAAATGCAAAGAATTAAATATTTTTAGCCGTGAAAAATTATCAAGATATTTTGCGAAACTAGCTATATGATCATACAAATTTCAATGCCTTTCAATATTGATGCCAGAGATTTTTTATAAAGCAATGGGTTACTGGTAGCCACATCAGTAGCACTAGAGGGCACTTTTAGCATGTGTATAGAAATGCTAAAACACTAGAAATTAACTTTAGCATTTATATACATAAAAAAACAAGCTGTATAACATTTTTATGATTTTTCATGAAATAAGAATTTTGTCAGAACCGTTAAAGAAGAAACCACATTTTCCATGTTTCATTTCTAGGTTAAAAAAGGACAAATTAATGGATGCAAAAGTATACGGACCATTATCAATAATCTATGGGAAATTATGCATTTTATATAAAGCAGAACCAAATGGAAAGCCCCATGCACATTTTAGAAAAGTAACACAGCTCTAGTGTTTGGTTCATTTGAGCTATTTAAACACAAAAAACAAACCTCATTTAAAAACAGAAAAGGGAGGTGATGGGAAAATAACCCAGAGCCGTTCGGACAAAGGTGTGTGCGCCACAGAGACATTCCCTCAGGTCTAGAAGTCCCGTGTGGTTGGAAGCTATGATGTCATGAGCAGACACCTTCTCTCCATAAACACATGCAGGAGGCAGGTGTGCAGGTTCTGGGAGAAGTAGGGCAAAGGAACCTTACTGACGATGACGATGGTTAGCCTCCACCCAGTAGGTGGTACTACACTGGATCTGTGACTAAGGGCCCTCAAGGATTTCATTTTTAAACAACGAGTGCACAGCAACATGTGAATATACCTGGGCTGCATATCATTTAGCATACTAGGTCTAAATAACATGCGAATAAAATGAGGAAATCGATTATCAATGCATTAAATCTGAGATGAAATATAAACAAATTCTAAAATTAAACCATTTCATTCATATTTAAAAATGTAGTTAATTCAGTCACCAAAGAAAGAGCAGAATGTCCAGAGCTCTGGTTCTTCATACCATCTCAAACACGGCAGCAACAGCATTGGAATACTAATGTGCATGAGTTTGAATAATTCAGATCCAATGCTTTTTCTTTACAATCCCCACACAGATGGTTCTAAGACTTCTGAGCGGTCTGCCCCCTTGACCTCGGAGTAACACAAATGTTAGATATAAAGATGAATGTGCATTCCGAGACGCATCATAGGTCTAGACGCCATATTTATTTTAATTGTCTCACCACCTGTGAGAGTTATGGCAGTAACTCAAACAGCGCTAGGATGGGGTTATGGGTGTGCGCTAGCCTCTGAATGAAATTACCCCCTTGCATGTGGTAAAAATTCCAAGTAAAAATGATCATTGGTGAGTATATTGAACTAGGCTACTAGCTATTTGGAAATGCAAAATAATACATGGTAGAAAATGCAAATATAGAACAACACTGATCGAATCAAACCACGGAGATACAAACAGTCTCCCAGAGAATTACTAATGAATTTGAACAAAATCTCTGATGTAAATATCCCCAAAGAAATGTGTTCAGCCTTATTATACAGATTTCCCTTTGGTTCTGTTTTCAGAATCAGTAAGTGACTATTAAACCAAAAGACACACCGCATCAAAGGTCATATTACTCCTAAATACAAGACAAGACAGATCGTGCAGCAGCAGCAGAAGGACCCTTCCGTATGAAAGGGAGTATATGACCACAAGAGTGTTTTCCCAATGTTGGGAAAGATGACAGGCCAATGGAAGGAAGGATGGGGGATCTCTTTCCTCTGAGAGTTTGTGTGGCCTTGAGATATGAGCTATTCTGGTGACAATGCTCTACCAAAAACGGCTCATTTCCTCAAATGCTAGTTTTTCCCCCTATAAAAAAACAATTAAAAAAATAAATAAACCCCTTCATACAGTCCCTCGAGTGTCACATGATCCTTCAGAAATCATTCTAATATGTTGATGTGATGCCCAAAATCAATTTCTTAATATTATCAATGTCGAAAATAGATGTGCTGCTTAATATTTTTGTGGAAACAGTGATATTTTTTTTTTCAGGATTCTTTGAATAGAGTTTAAAAACAACAGACTTAATTTGAAATATCAATCTTTTGTGACAATGGAAAGTCATTTGCTGTCACTTTTGATCAATTTAATCCATCCTTACTGAATAAAAGTCTTTATTTCTTAAATCTTATATATTAGGAAGGGGCTCCTCGGAAAGGAGATTATCATACTTGAGGGTCCTTGGCATCAGAAAGCTTACAAATCATAAAATGGAGTTCGATCAGGGGTTTTTATGTATGAGCACACAGAAAACGCAAAAGTCATTTTTATAATATCCTCTGGAAATGTTGAGTAAGCTTTTGCACGAGGGTGGATGCAAAATATAAAGCAGCGGGAGTGTTGACCCCTCAAACAGACCAGAGCAGAAGTGAAGAGTCAGTCTCTAACTACTGCTGCCCACACACACACACACACACACACACACACACACACAGGTGAAGCAGACGACACCCACCATAATGACAGAACACATCTGCATATGCATTTATCTCTCTCGCCGCCTCTATTCCATGTATTCAATTCATCACGGCTCCATTTATCCCTCACATCTCTTCCACCATCTTAAACTCGTTTCATGCCACATCCCAACACCCTCGAAATTATGCCAATAGTATTCAAATCTCATTTAAAGTCTGTTAACTATATAATACAAGAAGCTTAATGTCACGTCTAAACCATTTCAAACTAAAATCAAAAGAAAGTATTTATATTTAGTAAAATAAAGAAAATAAATATTATTTATGCACTATTGTTTGCATTGCAATATTATTCTCATGAGAATTAGACATACTCCCACCTCCCCAAATTCCCATTACCGTAACACGCTTTACTTTGTTTTTATTGTTAATTAAAACCAAGCGTATTAAAAAAAATATTCTCATTAATTAAAATAAAGCTGAAATTAAATTACTAACTAAAACAAACTAAACTAAACCAGAAATAAATAAATTCAAGTTAAATTTAAATATTAAGAAAAAAACTGAAACACGCATTAATTTGTTTAAACTAAAAATTGTAATCAAAAATTTTTAAGTTGATTCAAAATATTAATAAATACTATAATACTATACAAGTGATCTAAAAATAACTTCAGTCTTTTGATTCTTTTTTGCAATACAATTTTTTTTTAAACAATATAAAGTCAATACTGCTATGCTGTATAAATACAATTAAATTTTTTTTTACAGTAATGCATTACAATAATGAGAATTTGGGGATGAATGTGCTTAACTTACCAAAATAACATCACAATGGATCTTAGTTCTACAAACAAGCTTTATTGTCTTTATGCAAATAATAATGAATAATTTGGGGGGTGAAATATGACCTAGACATGTTCTTTATAGGTGTTGTGAGATTCTCCCAAAAAGTGTATTAGGTTCTGTTGGTGAAACTACTGCCTCATCATTCAGTTAGATTTTGGCTAGATGTAGTTTTTTGTCAAGCTGTAAAAAATAAACACTGAAGGACTATTTCGTATCTCTTAAAGAAATCTATCGTATCTCTTGCTCTGGCTACTGTGTATAGACCACCAGGGCCATATACAGATTTCCTAAAAGAATTGGCAGATTTCCTCAAATGAATATTCGGTTAACAGCGCCAAATGACGAGGGGCAAGATGGCCACAGTTGATGCCATGACAACACGGGGTGTGGTATTATGACAAAGCGGGGTGCGGCGCCAACAGAAGTCATGGGTATGTCCTATTGTGTTTAGACAAAGAGATCTGAGGCTGTAATTTGAGAAAGAGTGTGCGAGTGTGTAACAAGACAACAGGACTTCATATGTTTCAACTCATAGAACAATCAAAACACTATTTACCCAAGGTGTTCACCCTTTCATTCAAAGATGTCATATCTAAGCATCTTACCTTTTTTAACTTTCTTCTGCAGTTTAATCGTATCTGAAGATTTCTTCTTGATCTCTGCACGTGCTTTCTTATATTCTAAAAAACAACAAAGGCAGGGAAAGAACAACATTAGCCTCTTCAGTGGAAGCAAAAGCTAAATATTAATAAGTTCAGTGGTTCAAATCCCTAATCTTAAATATGAGCAACAATAATTATGTTGCCTACCTTAGCAAGCACTGCTAATAAATGATTCACAATGATGTCAAATGAAACGACCCCTTAGCAACCTCAGACAGACGTGTTGGAGATAGCATGGGTGTAGCCGCGCGTACACTGGCGAACTGCAAGCTAACTGATTGAATGCCTAATCTTTTATATGACAATGGATTGTTCTTATGAATAAATTATCCATTGTGAGCTGTAATATAACTGTCTGCGGGACTCCCACAGAGTTAAGAGCCATTTAATAAGTAACAGTGTGCAGCTAAGAGGACAGGTTTTCCGACAGTGATATTCTTAAAGGGGTGGTGATATATTTTTTTGTTTTTGCACTGAGGTCAACGAGTTTTCTGTGCCTATAACAATCATAACTTAGAAATCTTAAGAGGAAAAATGCCCATTAAAAACGGTTTCATAGTATAATAAACTCTTATCTCAAAGGATAAAGAAATACTAGATTCCATTACCATTTTAATTAATTGAATTGTTTGTGTACATTATTAATATATAAAATCTGAACATGCTGTATGGTACAGCCTGGATATTCTTCTAGGTATTGTTTTTATTCTGCTTTAACTTTTTATGCTTTAAATTTTTCATTTTCAGGTTAACTCTACCTTTAAATTCAACCCACTTAGCTTGAAAAACCTCCATTAAAGTATTAAAACGATACTTTGCCTCCTTCTGTACAGGAGCTTTTTCAACACAAAGATTAAATACTAAACCTGTTGAATTCTGATTATATCATGTAGGGAAAGAGGCCGATACCTTTGGCGTGGTCTTTATCCAGCTGACTGGCAACCTTCTTCCACTCTTCAATTTTCAGTTCCAGAGGAGTGATCAAGTTATCCATGAGAACCCTGCACACACACACACACACACACACACAATACAGTTAATGCGTTGTATAATACATAATCTTTATTACCAATTCAACTAATGAGCTTATAAATAACAAAAGAGAATTAAATAGCCGTACGTGGTGAATAGTTTGAGCTTGTTCTCAATGCTTCTGTGTCTCATACACATCCTGGTCAAAGCCGATCCAATCTCTTTCGTTGCTCCTGGAGGGAAAAAAAAGAGAAAGGAAATTAATATCAGTGTCCTTAATCTCACAATCTTCCATTCTGAGCTCCATCAGAAGCTGTGAAATGCCAAGAGGAAAAACATGTTGCTTAAGAGTCCTGAAAGAACAGTTTCATCACATTGTTCTATTCTCTCTTCTCCTCACTCCTTTCTTTCCCCCTTTCTCTTTAATAAGTGGCTGAATGGGCTTCATTTTGTAACATGTCTCAGACAGCTTTCAACATAACTCTTCTTATCTTTCACAGGAATGTGTGCTTCAAATGAAACAACTCAGATTTCTCATTAACGAGGATTAAAGGAATCGCTTTCCCAAAACTTCTGACGCAGAAGAGGCGAGGACACGACACATACACACATCTTGACCAAGTAGCATTTCCTCTCTAAATACAAAAATGTATAGAATTATTTAAAGAACTGAAATAGGAGGAATAGAGCTGGGAACTGAAAAATGATGTTAAATTCTTCATTCTGTACGGTTAACAAATTATACATAATATAATAAACTACTGTTCAAAAGTTTGAGGTCAGTAAGATTTTTTGTAAGAAATTAATATTTATTACACATTGATCAAATCTGACAGTAAAGATATTTATAATATTACAAAAGAGTTCTATTTCAAATAAATGCTTTTGAACTTTATATTCATCAGAGAATCCTGAAGAAAAAAAATGTATCATGTTTTTAACAAAAACAGAGCTGCACAACTGTTTTCAACATTGATACTAAAAAAAAAAACATTTATGAAGCACCAAATCAGTATATTAGAATCTCTGAAGGATCATGTGACACTGAAGACTGGAGAAATTATTTTGAAAATTAAAAAAAAAAAAACGTTTTAAACAGGTCAATTACTTAGCTTCTGCATAAATCACACTAATGCATCACTGCAGCAACCCCTCCAGCGTGCAGGAAGAGCACTGCACATTCATCAAGAGACTGCTCACACAAACCCCTTTCCACAGCCAGGGTGCCAGAGAAACCAGCTCTTCCACAACCCCTCAAGCCTATGCACTCATTATCTTTGGTTAGTGTTCAGCAAGCTTGGTGCACAAAACTAGATCGCTCCTATTGGGATCAACAAAGCCATGTACTCTGGAAGCTCTAGCTAAAATGACTATTTACCAATACAGTGTGTTTGAAATGATTGCTATGAATTGTATAAAAAGATAAAATCTTTCTCAAATTATTCTCCTTCTAGGTAAGGAAAACAGTGAAAAAAAACAATAAAATCTTTCACAATCAGGAAAGGCAGACCATTTTTAGGGCCCTACACACACACACAGCTGGATTTTGTTTGAATTGTTTCCAACCTAAAGTCAGCTGAGGAAAGGAAAACATAAAAAAGATGCTAGATTTTTGGGCTAGCACATGTACAACTGAGAAGCACAGCCAAAAAAAAAAGCTTTATTTAATCACTGATCTGAGACAATTCAACTATTCACTTGCTAACAGTTGAGGTAAACATCTGGGAAAGGCATAGACTAGACTGGCTTACTAACAGCCTCTATGATAAATTATTATCTAAATAATTCCGATTACAAAAGCTGATAAACTAGTTAGATTAGGCATTACATCGCAATGCCACATCCATTCACCCGCCCACCCATAAACACATAAAAGGTCACTTTATCCAATGAGTCAGAAACTCTGAAATAACAATTTCTATTAACATAATCGACCCTGTGAGTCACAGTGAATGAAATATTAAAATTAATTGTGTTGAGACGGTGCAAACGGTCTCAATGCTGACATTAAACCGTCTAATCAGATACGCTTTATACTGGACTGCTGACTGTGTTTGAGCAGGATGTAGCTTATGCAATATACAAATTATGCACAGAACGGTTTCTCTTATTGGCTGAAAAAATTGCCCTTCACCTCACTTTAACACTCGCTTCTCTTTCAGTTTCATTCTTCCATTATTTGAGTCCTCTTCAAAAAGTGAACCATGAAAGTGTAAAGTAACAATTCTAGTAATATATTTAAATAATAAAAAAAACTATTTCATTTAGTTATTCATTTTCATTTTAAATGTTTTAAAAATATTTACATTTCTGTGTAGTTGCTCCTCATTCCAAATGTGAAGAAATGCTGTCAACTGAATTTTCCCACAAAACCTGATTTTCTGCACCCGTTATCATTGAGCTACATCTAATGCAAATATACATTATATAATATACATATTATATAACATACAATAAAACAAAAATAAAGTGAACCTTGCATGCATATTGCAAGTTAAAAGTCCAATGTTCGGAGCATTTACAACAGTCAAAATTTACACTTTGATACACCAATGACTGAGTGTGAAAACACCCATCTGTTTATCTCTCATTAAAATGAAATACATTACTATCACTGAAGTTAATTCTATAATCCTAACTGAAGTAGATCCTTGATACTGTTCTCTTTTTTCCATTGAAGTTCATCATGAAACTACATATGTCACTGTACTTCCTGGTAAGCGTTTCCCAGGGCTATAGCCGGGGGCAGCAAATGTGTGTGCTCTAAAATCTGACTGTTCCTCCTGCAGGACTAGACATGTCATATCACGCACCTCACTGGTCTTTTTGTTGCCGTTTGCGTGATGCATGATCTTCAGAGCAGCAACAACGGTCACAAACTGGTCTCTGTTGATGTTTTAAAGTCGAATGATTCGGGGAGGTGGGACGTCACACCCTGACGCCTCGGGCTGACGCTCAATAAGTCTCATTACTGCCAAGACATTTCACACGCAAGATCTCAACACGTTACCTGCTGGGGGGTTAAGACATTAAACTTTCAAATGTCTCTGGTGTCAATCAACCAGTGACAAATAAAGAGCACAAACGAGACAAACTTTGTAAAAACAGTTCTCTAGCTCTATAATTACAGGTGTTTGAGTGTAAACCCCAGACAAACCAGTTGCCAATGTAAAAACTGTCTGAAATTCATTTTTCCCTTCTTTAATTCCTCTTAAAAGTAGCAGATCAAGCTGATTGCACCATTCTGTATATTCTTGTGATAAAACTTCACCACCTAGCCAATTTTCCAGCCACTTTAATAACAACTGTTATGCTTGGTGGAAACCACAATAGGGAGCATTCAATTAATTTAACTGCTCGTTACTGTTGGAATCAGATTAATCTATTGTTAGTGGCTATGTATTCAAAACAAAACGGTAGCATACCACTTTTTAGATCAGTTAGGTTGGAGCTGTGGCCTAGCGATTAGCACACAAATTCTGACACATTAAGTGAGTTCTGTAGGTTCGAATATAGCGCCAACAGATTTTCAAATTCTCTCTTTTCCCCATAATTTCCTGTTCTCTTGTCTGCGCCTATAAAGACCAAGTAATAAAAATGGGGGAAAAAACTGCATTCTTAAGATAATGAAGTCCGATTCTGATGCTTCAAGCTTTATATAGACGGTTCCGGTCTGTGTTTGTTTATCAGTCTGGCTATGTCGCCAGCTACAAATGCAGTTAAAGTTAAGGTGATGAGTAGACTGAAGTTGGGCTCAGGTGGTTGTGCTGTGGGATGTTTCCCATACATTTATTTATTTGTAGCTAGGGTTGGGTACCGTTCACATTTGAACCGGTACCGTACTGGTATCGGTACCTGAATTTCGGTGGCAGTACCCAACGGTACCTTTTTTCGGTACTTTACTCTGTGCAATTACAAAAACATTTATTTAATTGAAAAAATAAGTCAATTTTGAACAACAGGGCCCTACAAACTTTTTCTTTCTTTCTTTTTCTTTTTTAATTGTATTATTTTCTACAATTAAGTGATTAATCTGGTTGTAATATTTATTTTTTATCATTTAATTGTTTTATTTACATTTGATAGAAAATTGAATATTTAAAGATGTACATTATACTGTACAAAAGTAATACAAGAGTAATGTATTTCTGTTACATGTTAAACCGTACTTTTATTTTGACAGGTTGCCATGAAGCTACTGTGTGTATACAGTATGATGATGCTAGTTTTCTCAAATGAAACGGTAAAATTCTCGAAGTGACTCTCACAGCAGCTCTGGAGATTAAGTTGTATTCATGCTGTCATATAGTGAGACGCAGAGGCCGAAAATCACCGCGAGCGTCACGTGTACGTCAGTATTTGTGTAGTAAAAACAATAAAAAGTAAAAAATAAAAAAAATACCTTGTATCCGCCATTCATGCATACAGAGGCAATCGGAACATGCAGGATTCATATTTAAACCATCTTTTTGCATTTTAATATTCACAGACACTAGTTCATATCACGATTCAAATGAAGTGGCAGTGGCTACTTTTGATTTATTTATCCGTGGCATTCCACGTTATAGAGTAAATTAAATTTTTATGAATGGACTCCACAATCCCATCCGCGTTTTCTCAGAAACCATATGGCCCTAGAAATGTAACCACACTTCAGAACATTTCGGCTTGCCCTGTGTGTTGTTTGAACGAGTTGCAGAGGTGACCACGTCACAGGGTCTCTCTTTCTCTCTCTGTAGCATATGCGCCCAGATGCGTTCTCAGGTACCGAATTTTGGCACCGATTGATTTAATGTGAATCGGTACACGGTAGTACCGACGCAATTCCTCCCTTTTAAATACCCTTAAAAGTACCGAGTTCGGTAACCAACCCTATTTGTGGCAATATCAAAACTGACCGATTTTTCAAAAGGCTTCGTTGAATAAACATGAGCACGTACTACACGTTTAAAAATCAAAACGAGACGCGGGTGTTTTTATATCACTGTATTTCTGAATGATGTCCATCTTTAGAAAATTTTCGATGTCATTTTCATTTCATCTTTCATGTTATATGCCTGATAAAGCAGAGTTTGTGAGCTCAGCGCTGCTGTGTGTACAGCCGTTACTGGGGAAACCTCTTTAAACCGCTTTAAAGCACCTCCTGCTGGCAGAGAATGAATTTGCATTTTTCAGTAAGTCCGTCTGATTTACGCAGCAAACATATTTAGCTTTTCCTATATCCACGGGCGCT